GTTCAAATAGGTAGTAGACGATCTCACTTTGAGTAGACCCAAATTCTATTCTACATTTAGAGCCAAGGTGGAAACTGTAGCGGAATTAATCTTTAATTCATGTGACTGATAAACAGTGTTGAGTCACCCCTAACCATGTAAACTCAAGTTGGCCCTGAATTTGTTAATTTCATGAATTTAAACCAAGGCTTTGGATTTCAGACTAAAATTATGTATTCAACCTAAAAGGGAGGTACATTTTATTAATAAAACAATAGGAGTAAATGGGCATCCTCATTGAAAAATACGCTATCTTCTTAGATAACAGTAGAGAAATAACTGAAAGAAACTATCACTGTCCCAATAAAAAGATGGATAGTTTTTCAATGTGGTCTCTGAGGAACATGATTGCTTAAAATGTCACAGAAAAACTGTAGTCATATGAAAAACATGTCAGTCTTAATATCAGAACGTAAGCAGAGGAAAATTGAAAATAAAGAGACAGATCAAGCTAGAGGAAAATTTCCTTAGGAGTAAGGTTGAGATATTAGAGAACATATTAAAGAGAAATTAAACTAAAATGAGATCTCAAAAGCCAGTATATATAAAAGGGAAAGGAAGGTGGCCGGACGCAGTGGCTCACACCTGTAATCCTAGCACTTTGGGAGGTGGAAGTGGGTGGATTGCCTGAGCTCAGGAGTTCGAGACCAGCCCAGGCAACACGGTGAAACTCCGTCTCTACTAAAATACAAAACATTAGCTGGGCACGGTGGCAGGTGCCTGTAATCCCAGCTACTGAGGAGGCTGAGTCAGAGAATTGCTCCACCTCCCGGGAGGCGGAGGTTGTGGTGAGCTGAGAATGCGCCATTGCACTCCAGCCTGGGTGACCAGAGCAAGACTCCATCTTAAAAAAATATAAATAAATACAAATAAACAAATAAAAGGGAAAGGAAAATGCAGCAAGGTCTAACTTGTATGAAGGAGGGTGTTAGATGCAGGGAAAGTGTGTAGTTATTACTGGAACAGAAACAGTGATTCCAGAAGTTTCAGAGTTTTTTTTTAAAGGAGTGTAAAAACAAGAGTACACTACAATGACATTCAAGAGGTCTAAGATCCAGGAAACTATTAAATGTTAGATTCTTAAAATTATTAATGGAAAGTCTATAGTAAATGCAACTGATTTTCTTGCCTTCCATCCTGCACCCTGGTAATCCATTCATTTCTAAGAAGCACACCTGATCATGTCAGTCCCTTGCCACAAACTACACATGCACACACACACACAGAGCACA